TCTAGTAATAGTAGTAGTAGTAGTAGTAGTAGTAGTAGTAGCAATAGTAGTAGTAGTAGTAGTAGCAATAGTAGTAGATAGTAGTAGTAGTGTAAGTGGTAGAAGTATCAGTAGAAGTGGTTGTTGTAGTAGTGTTGGTAATGGCAGAAATCATCTCATTGTCGAGTCATAAACCGAGAACACAAACAGCACAACAAAACAACATTCAGAATAACCCAAAAACGGCAATAACGTTCTTCAACTTGGCGCGAAGACCACCACTCTTGTGATATGTTCCCTCTACCTCTTGCAAGACCCGGGTATGTTCTGGTACAGCTGTTCTCCACCCACGGCCAAGTCCACGTCAGGGGGTTCGGACACGCTCTCTTCGGGGACGGAACACAGAGGGCGAGATCGGAACACGGCTTCGGCGACCACACGCTCCACCTCTTCGTAGTGATGGTAAGACGTGACTTTGCGTTCTGCCAGAGATGGAGGAACACAAGGAGAGATGTGGAGGATATATTGTTACTGTGGATTGTTACTGTGTATTATTACTGTGTATTGTGACAGTGGATGTATTATTACTAAGGAACTGTGTATTCTTACTGTGCCTTGTTACTGAGGATCTGTGATTGTTCTGTGTTGTTACTGATTGTTCCTGTGTATTGTTACTGTGTATTATTACGGTGTATTGTTACAGTGGATGTATTGTTACTAAGGAACTGTGTATTGTCACTTTATATTGTTACTGTGGATTGTTACTGAGGAACTGTGTATTCTTACTGTACATTGTTACTGTGTATTGTTACTGTGGAATGTACTATTAAGTTGTAGTTTTCTTCTTTCTTTCTTTCCTTTGCCAATTGTAGGGGCTATGTTTTTATTGGGTCTGATTAGGAAAAAATATCGGTTAACATAAGTAAGTCAGTTGTTGTTAGGTTCGGAATGCTACAGTATTTTGTTACATACTCGTGTGTATTTGTTTGTGTTTGAATATATTGCAGCTACGCATTTAAGTGTATATAAATCATGTTAGCTTTCTTCAAATAGCTTCCTACCTTTCATTGCTTTTGTTGTTACCTTTTAGTTTGGTTTATAATTACCTTCACGTACTGGATGTGTCTTCCTTATCATTTGCCTTACAATGTCTTTGTCATTGTTAGCTCTGGCCTTGCCCTTGGTCCAGCAGAGGAGGCAGCAGGTGATAAACAAGAGAAAAGACAGCAGAGCGGACACTGCTATCAGGCCAAGCACGAGGTTCCATGAGCAGGAGGAGATGGGTCTGGTGCCGGCCATTTCTGTGGGAGAAGAAGAGCTCTGACATATTCAGGAGAATTTGGCTTGGGAATTTCCCTGCTCGTGTTTTATATAAGGAGGTACTAGAAGCCACGGAAAGGACTGTTGAGGGTCTCACCTTTGTAGAGAAAAGGGGGAATGGGTGGTTAGCCTATTCGACCACCTTGGCAAGGGGTATGGTAGGTCAAACGTTTTATTTTTTTTTTTCTTTTCTTTTCTTTTCTTTTCTTTTCTTTTTGAGTGTGTGCGACAGTGAGAGAGTGTGCTTGTACATATGCGTGTGTAAATGTGTGTGTTGTGAGTGTGTATGTCCGTGTGTGTGTATGTAAATATATACAAATATGTACATACATATACGTATATCTACATAGCCATGTATATCCAAACAATCAATCCTTCTCAACGCAAATTCGCTGACCTTTCCTGGGACTGGCGGGTCTACAGCGGGCAGCAAACCTGGCGTCGCTGATTTCCTCCAACGACACGTGAACGCTTTCCAGACTGCCACGAACAGCGTCGTTCGAGGACACTTCGCCGTTGATCTCCAAAATGACCAGGTTCTGAGGGTCAGGTTTCGTGTGGTTGGTGGTGATGAGGATCGTGAATTTGGTGATTTGATTATGGTTAGTATTAATATTTTGATAGTTATGATAATCCAAATAATATTTGATAGTTATGATAATCCTAATGATAAATATATCATTACTTGATATATTTTCAGCATCGTATTTTTTATCATAATGATTATCATTATCGTTATCGTCATTATTATCGTTACCCTTATCTTTAATCTCTCCATTGTCAATATCACCCACATATAATTATAATTAACAACCCACAGACGCTTTCACCACCTCTGCCCGCCCATACCTCGTGGCTCCCTGGCTCAAGGATGACCTGCACCTTGTTCCACTCCCTCAGGCGAGCCATGCCCCCGCGGTGCACCTCCAGCCGCAGCCTCTCCGCCTCGCCCCCTCCGCCTCCCGCCCGCGCCACCTCCACCTGCGGGAGTGAAGGCGGCTCGCTGAACCAAAAGGAAAAGGGGAATACTGTGCGTGTACGAGTGTGGGGGAAAGGGGTATGTATAAGTATTGTGTGTGGGGGGGGGATAAGTGTTAGTGTATGTGCGTAGGGTTTATAAGTAACTATAAGTAAATGTTGTTGGTTGGGGTACACCAAAAACAGTAACGATCAAAGATGGGTAAAAGAAAGTAGAAGCACTGTGTGTACCTTTTTGTTTGAGTGTGTATGTGTCCGTATGTGTACACCAAGGAACGGTAACGCTGAGAGACAATTCAATACCTCAAGTGAAACTACGTAACGACTGGTAATCGGGAACACGTAGAACGCGCGGCTGGACGCTACTTGGAGATGCTGCGCCGTTAACGAGGGGCTTGTGAGCACGGGGCATCCTGCACGGGAGGGAAATAACAGGACATTTATTATAATATACTCAAAAGTCCTAAAAAAATGATATCCAGAGTGAGAAATGAGTTATAATAATATACGGAATTATGTCATCGAAATTACCCGCTTCGCAGTTGAAGATGACCGCCAGCTGCATCTGGCTGACGACGTGCACCCTCGTCGCGCCGCCCACCCCCTCGCCGAGACGTCTCTGGAAAACGAGGTCAGGCAAGAGCGGGTCCATGACGGTCAGCCAGCCGCCCGTCACGCCCACGCCGATCATCTGCCACACGCCCCGACGCAGATCCAGAGGGAAGACCGCGTCGCCAAAGTCCCGCGTTTCTGACAGACGGCAGGGGTTGTGGGAAGAGAGTTAAAGGGAGATAAAGAGAAGGAAAAAGACGTGTATTGCCTTTTCTTCTGTCGTTATAAATGCAGATTGATGATTGTGTGATATGTGTTGTGTGTGTGTGTGTGTGTTATATGTGTTTATGTTGTGTGTGTTTATATGTGTGTTTATGTGTGTGTGTGTGTCTGTATGTGTGATTTGTTTATTGAAAAAAAAATCACTCACCATCGCTTCCTTGTCCCTGCTGCGACACCTGTAATCCGTGTTCGCCAAAAGCCAAAACAAAGGTTTTGTTTCCCGTCTGAAGGTGGACCTCGAAGGCCGCATCTCCTTCTGCTGACGTCCTGGAGGGGAGTCCTTCGCCGTAGAGGATGCTGAGGACTGCGCTGTTCTTGACAAAAACCGAGGGCGTTTTTGTAGTCCCTGTGGCGCCCCCTACGTCATGCACGAGGCAGTCTAATGGGGGGGAGGGAACAGCAGTTTCAATTCCTTTATTTCGGCGATAACAGTAACAGTGATAAAGATAATGATTGTTCTAGTGAGTGAGATCGAGAAAGATAAAGACAACAATGACAAAACTAATACGTTGAGACTGATGACGTTACTAATAATAATGATAATAGTAAAGATAATGATGATGACAGTGATTATTAAATAATCATAAATAGAAGCCTGTATATGCAATAAACTGAAGGCACCATGGAATCAGGGAGCGTCCGGCAAAGGACAGACACTTCTATATGAGGTGTTGCGAAGAGGGAGTGACACATTGGCACCCGAAATGTCCCCAGCAATCACAACAGTACCGGTAATGCCCACAGACTGTCATAACTCGGGAGCATCCGCCTCCAGCGTCATCAACCAACAAGCATTTCCACAGTTAATCAGTAAATATAGTTACTAGAGACAGAGGTTTCAATTCATTATGTATGACAGCATGCAAGAAATATGGACATATAAGGGGCACTCTTATTTCAGTTGAGTATATCTTCAGGAAAAGAAAAAGTATAATAGTTCCACCTTCGCATATAAGATCCGGAGTGACTTTTTGAGCCACATCTTAGTCAAATTCGTAAAATATATTTTCTTTGTGCACAATGGAAAAGCTAAAAAAAAAAAAAAAAAAAAAAAAAAAAAAAGAACTACCAAACGGCCTCACAATAAAATGAGAACTCAAAAAGCTGTGATAACAAATGACACAGAAGTGATCAAGGAAATGAGAGTGAAAGAAATTTGAGGGGTGTAAATGGTTATGCATCAAAAACACCTCCGACAGCCATTTAGGAAATCAGTAAATATTGATAGAATACCCTGATACTCCCACCCCAGTTAGAAGTGGCATGAGAACTACATATCAATGTTTGAACAATAAATGCGTTATTAGTAATGTTACTATCATAATCACCATCAGTATCACTATGATAAATGATATAATTGTTAGTTACTACCATTGTCCTTACATTTATCATAATCGTTATTGCAATACTATTATTGTTATGACCATAATTCTATTTCTATTATTGTCATCAGTAGGTTTATATACTTCTATTATATCCATCAGTATTTTACCTTTTACTGATATTTCCTTATCACCACATCATCCCATAATCACCCTCACCTTCATCCTCACCACCATCACCATTACATCATCATCATCATCATTCTCATCATCAGCAACGGCAACATCTCATCATCAACAACAATAAATAACATTATCATCATTACTGCTTGCTTTACTATTTCACTAGTATCATAACATTTTTATATTTCCTCTTATTCGATATGATATTCATAATTATCTTTTCAGCATTGTTATTGATGGTAGAAAAACCCACAATGCACAAACTAGATTTATTGAGACTCACTTTCCTCAATAAATCTAGTTTGTGCATTGTGGGTTTGTCTACCATAGTATCTACACGGTATTGTGTTTTCCTATTCATTGTTATTGATATGACTGTTGTTT